TCCTGCTTTGGCTAGTGATGCAAATAAATCTGGTGCAACATTTGGGAATGAATAGAAAAATATGCATGAAATGAGTACTCGTGTGGAGCTTATGGCTGACAACAGGGCAGGCGGATTATTTCCAAGCTCATTTCAGAGTTCGATACATAATAATTTCTAGATCATTTTTGGTGATTTAGGAGAATCACATGTCAAGAGCGGCATTCTCAACCACTTTAAAAGTTATATTAGTCAATTGCGGTAAGTAGTGGAGTTAGGAGTTGGTAAATGGAATTCTGTCCGGATTCCAATAACCCATCCTCTTCGTACAGTAAGAATGATGATAAGGTAACTAATTCTTCAAACATTGCTAAGAAAGCTATCTTGGTCAGCAAAACAAGCAAGTTGCTTTATTAGGGTAGTTGTAGATGCCAATATTCCTACTAAAGGACCTTGCTTATGCAAGGGGAGAGTTTGAGGGGGACGAACTATTATTAGGAAATATAATTATGGAAGAGATTAGAATAATGATAAGGGAACATGTAGTTAAGAACATTCCCTTTTTTATTTCATAAAATTTTAGCTAGAGGTTAGGTTGCATGTCTTCTTCCAAAGTTTTGAATTTTTTTTGTTTTGGTATGAATAAATAGTCTACTTTGTGTTTTTGTTTAAACGAAATAGCTATAATTTCAATCTTGGTCCTCAACTTCTAATAAAATTATAAAAGGCACCTAAACTAATAACATAATGATATTAACCAAGATAACAATGCAACAATATATACATTCCATCTTCATCAGCAGCCCTGCGGATAAAAATTTGGAATACAGATTAAAACAAAATATATATACCTCATTTTTTCCCCTATTAAGCTTGATGAAGCTCAGTTTGGAATATTTCCTTAGTTAACACGAGCCACAAATAAAAAAATTGAACAATGGAACACGTTGCTAAAAGCATGTTTGGCCAAGACAAAACAAAATAAAGTTCCTTTTAATTTATTATTATTATTTTTTTTTCCAAACTTGCCCAATCTTTTTGGAATTTACTTCTTTTGAAGATTTTTAGTTGAATAATTTAATTTTCAAAAAATTAAGCCTTCAATCTTTTAGAAAATTACTTATCTTTATCTTTAGGCTTCACCAAATAAGGAAGGAAAGTAACTTGTCAAATTTGTGGCGGAATGAAACACCCGAAAATGATATTAGGCTTGTCATTATGCGAAAACATTAAAGAGTGATGGTGTTTCCAACTTTTAGATTTAATTGGGAGCAACATCTCATATGACAAATGAATGAAACAAACTCGCCATCCAATTAAACCTGAAATTTTCATCAAAACTGCAATTGGCAGAAAGAAACTTCCCATATAACTATTAACCTAAATTCGTTCTTATAATATGATAAATAATTCCAAATGGATATATTTGAGGCACACATCACTTGAAAAACAAAAAAAAAATTGCACCAGTAGTACGTGCAGCAGTCTGAATACACAGACATAACCTAAATTCGTTCTTATAATATGATAAATAATTCCAAATGGATATATTTGAGGCACACATCACTTGAAAAACAAAAAAAAAAATTGCACCAGTAGTACGTGCAGCAGTCTGAATACACAGACACAACAAGCTACTGGTTCTGGTTGATTGAGATGGCATAACGCAAAAAAAAAAAAAAA